TTGGAACTCTTTAGTTTCTGACAAGATTCTATTTGTCAATTTTTATTTTAGTAGTTGTTTAATCTTTAGACAGTACTTACTTTACTTTTCTTTGAAACTCAACCTGTATTAACTCAGATGTCTTCTCAGTTGAAGGTCATCAGGGAATTGTATTTAGTTTCATGCTTTAAAAAAAAAAATGAACATGTTGCGTTTTTAAGTCATAAGTTTTTTTAAATTCTGAGTTTTTTTTTTTCCCCTTTAAATCTATATTCATTTATTGATTTCTTTACATGGATGCTTCTTTTTTCCAGAGGTCACAATCAGAGGATGGAATTTCTCGGTGACTCCATAATGCAGCTAGTAGCCACAGAGTACTTATTCATTCATTTCCCAGATCATCATGAAGGACACTTAACTGTGAGTTTATGTTCAGTTATTCTCTCCAATAAGATTGCTGAGTAACAGAGTAAAGATTAGATGGGCCTAACATATATTTATGTAACTGGTGACTTAGTTCTTGGTGACTGTCATAGTCAGCTTTTCATCACTATGACAAAATGCCAGAGAAAAACAAAGGAACAAAGATTTATTTTGACTTAAGGTTTCAGCAGCTGGCTATATCACTGAGCCTGAGGCGAGGCAGAATATCATGGCAACTGGAGTGTGTGATGGAGGAGGTTACTCACCTTATGGCAGCTGGGGAGCAGAGAGTGAGAGAAAGGGACCAGGGTTAAGATACCCTTCAAAGCTATGCTCCTAGTGACCTGCATCCACCAACTAGGCCCTCCTCCTAATAGCTCATGAAGCTATTAACTCATCAGTGGGTTAATCCACTGATTAAGTTGGCATCCTCATAATCCAGTCACTTCTGAATAGTTCCACGGTTTTGGGACCATGCCTTTAACATATACCTTTTGGGGGACACTTAATATCCAAATTGTGCCTTTGGCATATCATATGGCTTGATTAATTTCATTGTATAAATTGTTTACAAAACAAATATCAGAAGAATTCATTTTCCATTCCTTCATTTAATGAGCATCTACTCTGTGCAAGATACTGAAGTAGGCCTCATGGGGGAAGCAAAGATTAGTTGACACCAAGTCTCTTCCATAATGAGTTAAAAATTTTAAACTACTAGAAGAGGGCTGGAGATGTGACTTAACTAGTAGAGCACCTGCCTAGCATGCATGAAGCCCTGAGTTCAAACCTCAGAACTGAAAAAAAAAACCTAGAAGAAATGAAAGTATAAGAAGTAATAATGACAAGTACTCTGCCGTGTTTATGTCTGTGAATAGACAAATAAGCATTATTGAAAGTGTATGTAAGTAACTATAGCTAGAGGCCAGCTGGATCATGTTAAACATTAAAAACAGGCATAGGTGGATTGTTGCTTTGTGCAGTTTAGGAAAAGCAACAATTCTAGCAGTGGAGTACAAAGAATGCTTTATGGATATGATGATGTTTGAACCTTTAAAGATGGGTAGGATTTGGCCATTGGAAATAAGTGGAAGGAAATTTTTGTGCAGTGGCTTTCTACAACCGGAACTAGAGAAACAAAAGCATGACATGAAAAATAAGATGGAGAGGCAGCAGGAATGCATGTTGGCTAAGACCTCAGCAGAGTTGAAATGGAGTTAGAGAGATAAGATTTGATTTATGAACAAAGCTAAAGGATCACCATTCCTCTCACTTTTGTTTCATTTTATAAAACTTTATTGAGCTTTTTTATTTGGTGCATACTGTTTTTACTCTGTGAAACCAGTCAAGAATGTACCTGGAATGGTGAACAAA